GACCATAACAACCGAATGAAAATAAGAATTCAAATAAAAAACAACTATTTTATAGCGACAATAAGGTAGATTGTCAACAAGCACAAATAAAAACAGATAGTCACCCAAAATTTTCAAATAAAGGACCATTACCTTTCATTTCACCCTTGGGATTCACAATGACCCCAGCATTATCTGCAGATGCAAGAGACAAATATTAGAAACAAGTTCACAATTTCAAGTGCGACCAAGTAAACAGGATAAAACAATAAAAATCCCAAATACCACAAACAAAATCAAAACTGGTCACAGCAAATATGGTGAAATTTATTGCCAAGAATCCCAACAAAATAGTTCTAGAACAGGAGAATGGAAGGCATGTAAAATTGACACGACACAGTTCTCCTCAAACGTATAGAGGCCTTGTGCCATTAGAAACTGGAAATGTTTTACTTCTATGCCAAGCTAGACAAGTCTTCACAAATTACAACTTCAAAATAAGCTATTAAAATACAACTTCAATGCCATAATGCCGCTACATGCCAGCAAAAAACAAATTACACGAGATGCTTAAATATAAAAATCACCAGTGACCCCCACAAAAAATGTCATCTATTACAGCTTTTTACAAAGTAAAAAGGAGCAATATTATGCAAAGACATTAGGCTACACGAGTCGCTTAAATATACAAATCACCCCACAAAAAATGTTATTTGTCGTAGCTTTTCATATTATAAAAACAACAAATCTTGTGTAATAATAATTGTGTAAAAGTGCCAATCAGATAATATTTTCAGTCAAGCAGCAGAATAGGAACAATGCCAAAATGACTGTACAATTTCCTACAGGATTAATATATAGTCCGGGAAACTGAAGTTGCATGTCTTGTAATACTTTCCAATACAAAAATCAACAAGAAGATCACAAGTCATAAAAAAAAAAACATATTGCATGGGAGAGTACTTGAACACTTTTGTTCAAACTGAAAATGAAAATTGGAGGGAAGAGGGGAGTAAACGCGCACAGAACCTTCGAAGTACATGAAGACACCGTCCTTTCGGCGCCATGGTTTGCGCTGGCGTACAATGACGGCTGGCATGACCTTCTTACGAAGATCTGGTTTCCCCTTCTTCACTGTGGCCATCACCATATCTCCAACGCAGGCGGAGGGCAGCCTGTTAAGCCTTCCCTTGATCCCCTTCACCGAAATGATGTACAGGTTCTTCGCACCAGTGTTATCGGCGCAGTTCACCGTCGCCGCCACCGGCAGACCCAGCGACATTCTGAACTTGTTACCCGCCGATCCTCCACGTCCTGCACAAAAATCGATTGCAAGAAAAATTAGATTGTAAAAAGGAACGAAATATTTGTTGGATATCCAAAAGTTAATCGGAAGACATCGTACCTCGCTTCGACATCTTGGCTCTCTGTGTGTCTCTCTTCCTGGAGGCGCTACGTTTTATTTGGGAGTTCAGGTGAGCTAGGGTTTTGTCGAGTTAAGGGGCTGTTTGGCAGTGACAAAATAAATTCGTTGTAGCGCCTAATTGGTTTGGATAAAAATAAAATTATTTTGACAAAAATTAATGAAATGTGATTAAATGAATTTTGAAAAGAGGAAATTACACCCACCCCTACTTTTAGATTACCATTTTCAAAAATCCTGAATCAAGTTTCATATTACAAAATTCAGGTTTTAATTAATAATTTTAAAATATTTGTTTTATTTTTATATCTATT